GAGAAGGTGGGAAGAGAGGACATTCAAAGGGTCAGGGTCTCCATCCAGAGCATCCATCAGGATGGAGAGGCCAGGCAGTGGGTGGGGACAGGGCCTCCGTGCCAACAGCCTCCCTGCTGACTGTGCTCTGGGCTGGTCCCGTGAGAACTAAAGTGGATTCCTCTGCAACCCTGACTCATCCCTCTTTTCCCTTTCTCTCCCAGCAGCCCCCCACAGGTGATTTGTAGCTGATGCCCCCAGGATGGCAGGGGCCAGGACTGTCATTCCACGACATGAAGAACTAAGAGCTTCCAGAGAGAAGAGAACAGAGGCCAAGGGATGGAAAGCCAAGCACCACCCCTACCGTCCCCCCCATCCCATCTCACTCCCCTGGGGACCCTGGCCCAGCCCCAGTCCCCTTGGGGTGGTGGGAATGCAAGGACATTTGGCTGGGGCTGATTGATGAGGGAGGAGGCAGCCACTGGGCACTGAGGCTGCTGTTTGCTGAGCACACAGATTCCTCCCCACTCACCAGCTGCCGCCCCCTGAGGCTGCTCAGTTCCCTACCACCACCAGCCACTGGGTTTGCGGGGAGCTGATGCCTGAGTTTCTGATGGCAACAGGGGGTAAGAGGGAGAACCTGGAAACCAACAGCTACTTTAATTCCCTGTGATAATCCGAAGTACCTGGAACTGGTCCCTTCCAAAATCCCTCCAGGACTCTGCCTTTCCTGCCACCTTCCAAACATCACTCTCCATGCCCAGTTGTTATTGCCATTCATTTTGAATCCTTTTTTCTTGTCCCCACCCAATTATCTGAGCCCATGCCAGCCAGCCCCCTGCCTCCAAACCACCATGCAATACTTCTCCTGGCCTGCCTACAGACCTCAAAAATCTCTCCAATAAGAGGGATCCCTATGTCCATGGTTGTCTACATAGCCCTGTAGGAAGCTCTCTCTATATTTTTTTTTCATTCTAAACTAAAATTCCAGATGTGATATCAACCATTCCCCATCAAAAAGTTCCACTGTGCCGACAGGTTAGCACACGTCTATAATTCCAATGGCTCAGGAGAGGCAGGAATATAGCAAGTTTAAAGTCAGCCTCAGCAACTTAGCGAGACCCTTAACAACTTAGCAATACCTTGTCTCAAAATTTAAAATTTTTAAAAAAGGGTCGGGGATGTGGCTCATTGGTTAAGCACCCCTGGATTCAGTCCCTGGTACCAAAAAAAAAAAGTCCCACTGCAAGATGGGCACAGGCCTATAACCCCAGCAGCTCAGGAGGCTGAGGCAAGAGGATTCAAGTTCAAGGCCACTTGGGTAACTTACAAGACTCTGTTTCAAAATTTAAAAATAAAAAGGAGCTAGGAATGTACTTCAGTTTTAGCCCTTAGGTTCAATCCCCAGTATAACAAAAACAAACAAAAAAACAACACACACATACACACACCCCAAAAACATTGCAATCCCTGGCCACGTATCTCTTTTTTTTAACACCCCTCACCCCACGTGGAATTTGTATCTCTTGGCAGCTTCTGTTTGGAAAGATGGCAAAATCTGCACTCTGTCTTTAGCTCAGCCCTCAGGACAACCTTGATCCTCTGCTGTTTGGGACCATTTTAGCTTCATGGTCCTCAGCCCTCTTGGTCCCTTTGCTTCCACTCTGCCTGTCTCCTTGGATTCTGTGCTTTAGACTTTGTGTCCTAGCCCCTGAAAACTTATCATCCTTGCCCTCCCAAATCTCAAAACATACTTGAAGAAAACGCAACTAATTCAAACAAAAGGAGCAGAAAGGAGACGGAGTTGGATCAGCTCGCTAAATGTAGGTTCTAGACCCTAAGTGACTTGCTCCCCTACAGGCTGAGGCTAGGGAAGAACAGGACATATCTGGACCATATATATGTATGGTGTGATGTCCTCCTTGCTATTCCCAGACACACCAAGATTTCACCTCTGTGCCTTTGCACTTGCTGTCCCCTCCGTCTGGCATGCTCTTCCTCATATAGTGCCTGACTTACTCCTTCTCATTATTCCAGGTCCTCAATATTCCAGTTCCTGGTTATTTCAGAGGGGTCTTTCTGACCTCCTAACCTGAAGAATTTCCCTTTTACTCTCCATCCTGTCACTCTGCTTTCACTACCTGAAATTGCATTATACTGTTCCCCTTCAAAAACAATGTAGCCAGATTCAAGCCTGTAATTCCAGCAACTTGGGAAGATGAGCCAGGAGGACCAAAAGTTCAAGGCCAACCTCAGCAACTCAGTGAGACCCTGTCTCAAAATAAAAAAAGAAAAGGATTGGGGATTGTAATTCAGTAGCGAAGTGCCCCTGGGTTTAATCCCCATTAAAAAAAAAAAAAAACACCTGAGGACTTCAGAGATGGGGTGTAGCTTGGTGTTAGAGTACTTGGCTAGCATGTGGGAGGACCTGGGTTTAAATCCCAGTACCTGGGGGGGGGGGGGGGCATGAAAATATAAAACAAAACAATGTGGTATCATGAAAGCAGGGACTTTGTCTTATTCACCACATATTCCCAGCGCCTGAAATAGTACCTGGAACAAAGTAGATGTGACGTTGAGTGACTGAGTGGACAAACAAATGAATGTCTTCCAGCCCCTCTATTCTTTCTTGTTGTAGTTGTTATCCTACGAGGGTATTTATTTACTTGCACCCAAAAAGCCAACAGGATGTCATGTGTCATTCTGTGTGGAACACAGCATTTTCAAAAAGCTCAAAAGATTCACAAGTCACTGCACACAGGAAAGGCTGTAGGTGTCATGTTTATAATGTCAGGTGGTTGGCAGGGAGTCTATGGATGCCAGTGCTCTGAGGGGGTGTGTCCCAGGGCACTGTGGGTATGTGCTGTTCCTCTCCCCAGCTGTGCATCTGTCCCCAGGTGTCTTCCTGTCTCTCAGCCTGTTATGATGTCTTGGCTGCTTTGGTGAGGTGTTTGTCACAGAGACTATTTGTCCCCACTTCTCTTCCCTCTTGTCTCTCCACCTGTACCTCTAGATGTATGTGTCAGGGAGACTCTCCCTCAGCTCCCTTGCCCCCTCACACACACAGCCCTGCCCCAGTCTTGGACCCCTCCCTTTCGCAGTGGGCCCTGTTGCTGGGCTCTGGGTTGCCATAGTGACGGTTGCCAAGTCCCTGAGGCTGATAGCCAGCGATGGGGCTGTCGGCTCCATCCACGCGGGAGGCTGAGGGGGGCTTCCCATTGTGTGGAGAAGGGGATGTTGCCAAGACAACCAACCCCCACTAAGGGCCAGGGACCAGCCCTTCCACCCCCCTCGAGCCTCCCCACCTCGGGCTGCTCCAGTGTGGGCTCAGAAGGCAGGAGTAAATTCCAGACAGCCCAGCACCTGGCCTCCCAATTTTCAACACCCCTCCTGCAGTGCCTGCACCTCTTAGGACCCAGACCTCTTGCTGAGACAAGGGGAAGGGTCCCAATGGACAGAGGAGGAGAAGGGGGACCCCTTGACCTCCAGGCAGATGGGAGACAGCAGGAGGGGACATAAAGTCAGGGGCGGGGTGGGGAGGGCAGAGGTTGTGACCCCTGCTGACTCGCTCCAGTGATGCTCCTGACGGCTGCTTTTGTGGTTGAAGAATAGGACTGAGTCTGGGGGGCTGGGCACCTGGGCTTTTTGGGGGAGAAAAGCCTGGGCTATGGGTACACAAGCAGCCAGGAGATGGGCACTTGACACCTGACTCCTTCCTACTTTCTTCATGCCTCCCCATGTGAGTCCCCAACAGCCAAACTCTGAGTTAGAGGTCCTCCAAGTAGGGGCAAGAGGGAATACTTTAACACATGACACATTTCCATCACTTCACTACTAATTGCAACTTCCTAGCCACCCAGGTGCTTTGATTTAGTGATAGACACTGGCAGTTGCCATGTATGACTATATATTCACATACTTCCTCATTTGACTATACCGGCAAGCCCCCTCCCACTTGGGTTCTCCCTGGGTGGGAGGTGATTAGAGGTGATTGCCTTCCCCAGACTTCTCTCCAAGTCCAGCATTCCCTCCCCATGCACTGTACCACCTATCTCACCACTCCAACCAACCTTCTCTCTGCCCATTCCCCTTGGTTTCCTGTGATCCAACCCTCAGCTCCAAAGCCATCACCAGACTCACATCCAGTCATTCTCCAGTCTTTCTTGTCAACTTTTGAAGTTTTTTATTCTTTTTTTGGTTTTTGTTGTTCAAATTTCCCTTTTACAGTAAAACTATTGAGGTGACGGCTGTACCCCGCCACCTCCCCCATGGCAATATCAACTTCCTGTTCCCTGGAAGGAGCTGGGAACTACAGCACCAGAGAGATTGATCTGGTCTCTGGTGAACAAAGCAACCATCTTGGCTGGTGATTGAGGTGGCCAACTTGGTGCCCAAGGGCAGCTTTGATCTAATAAAACTGAGCTGGGAGGAAACTGAGGCAACAGCCAATTGAGCACTAGAAGGCAGGAAGAGGTATAGACTGGTCACTATGGAAACAGCAGCTGTTACTAAGTACCACTGTCAACTAGACCAGTCTAGGTAGGCCACCATTTTGGTTACTAAGAAGGGAGCTGTGTTGAGAGGATGGGATGAACAAGACAGCCATCTGGTTACTGGGGGAGAACACATGGGCTCTTGGGGCAGTCCTGTGATTAACAGAGATTATATTGGGATACGGAAAGGGAAGAACAAGACAAATTAGGCCTGCCACAGCAGATGGCAGTCATCTTAGCTGTCCTAAAATCACACAGAGCACAAGGGAAGGGAGATCCTGGGAAGTGCCACTGAATACTAGGAAAGTCCTCCTCAGTCCACCTCTGTCCCCTTATAGTCAGTAAGTTCCAGCTTCCTCCTGAAACAGGAAGTTCCTCCTGCCCCTTTCTCCACAGGGTAAGAACCATCCACCTCCCACCCCCCAATCCCCCAGACTAAGCCACTTGGAGTTCCAGCCAGACCACTTCCTATTTCAGAAGTGCTACTTCCTGTCCTGGATGAAGGCACTTCCAGTTCCTGCTGCACTGCTTCTGCCACTTCCCAGGCCATTTCTGTCCAGGCCTGGTCACTTCTTGACTGGAGCAAGTCACTTCCTGTCCCAAGTGGCCCATTCAGCATCAGACCATGTCCACAATGTCCCAACAGGTTCATATCTTGCTATCAGCCACTGGACAAAACGGGACACTTCTTCTCATGGTAGCTGTCGTGACCCAACCACCCCAAATGGCTGGAGTAAGTATGTAGAGGCCTGGGGCAGGGCAGAGAAGGAGGCCCTGCTGCCCATGCCCTGATCTGGGGTGGAGTGCCAGAGCCTTCCCCGTAAGGCCCCCATTTTTGGCAGACTGAGAGGAGCGGTTGTATGAGAGGTCAGGAGGGAGGCCAAGAGCTAAGGGGAAAAATGCTTTGACACCCCCACCCAGGAGTTGGGAGAGGCACAGGATAAGAAGCCAAGAGGGTAAAGGGAGATGTAAGGAGGAGGATGCTAGGGAAGAAGAACAGAACAGACCTAGAGACAGGAGAAAGAGAAAGAATAAAAGATAAGAGAGAAGAGAAAAACTGTGAGAGGCAGAAAGAAAGAGGTGCCAACCAAAAGACAGACCGTCCCGCCCCTACTCTGGGTGGATGAGGGAGACAAGAACACCTGGGTCGTGGTCAGAGAGGAGGCTGAGCCTGTGTCCCCTCCCCCAGGGATTCAGACACAGAGGGATGCCCATGGCTAAGCCAAAGGGCAGGAGGGGGGGGAAGTGGAAGTCTTAAGGGATCCTAAAAGTGGACACGAGGACAATAGCCAGGAGGAGCTAAGGAGCTGGCAGGGCAAAGGGGGCCAAGGAGATGCCAGAGGTGTCCCTCAAACCATGAATTAAACTGAAGGAGCACCCCAAAAAAAGGGCTGGATTCAGGAGAGCCAGGTAGGAGGAGCCCTCATACCTTGTAGTAGATGTTTGGAGGGCTCTGGGGGGGCCCATCCTGCACGATGTACACAGGATGCCCATAGTCGCCACTCACCTTCTCATAGTGGGGACAAAAGGGGGGATCTGCAGCCCCACCACCCCGCAGAGCTATCCCTAGCTCCCCAGGCTCAGCCTCCCGAGGTCCCATTCCACCTCCCGCCCCCAGGCCCAGAGACCCTCCCCTCCCAAAGGAGCCGGGACCAGGGTGGCGACTCTCCGAAGGCTTGGCCCGCCGTCTCCGCCAACACATGGCACCCCCAGCCCCTGCCACGCCCAGCAAGAGCAGCGCCAGCCCCCCTGCTGCCCCAGCCACTGCGGGCATGCTGGGAGGGGGCAGGGGGCCTTCAGCACCCCGGGAGGTTGCATTGCTGGTGGGGTCACCTGGCAGGGAAGGGGTGAAGGAGGAAAGAGGGGAAGGGGCTGAAGGAGCAACCTGGACATCTGGACACCCAGCCCTGGAGGTCCCCATGGGCTTCCCCAGTAGTGTCCAGGACCCCTGGGAACCCTAACTCCCCTCCCCCCACACCTCACTCAGAATCCAGGTGTCCAGCCCTGCAGCTTCCTGCCACGTAGTCCTCCCCACTTCTCTGACAGCACTGATTGAAGCACTGACTTGGCTAATTAGTTCTAATTGAGTCTTTTCCTCATTTGGCTTCCATTGCCCTCCTACCCTCCCATCCTCTCTTCTCTTTCCTGTATCACCACCCCCAAAAAGGGAGAGGGAAAGAGAGGGCAAGGGTAGGGGAATGGGGGTCTGAGAGCAGAGAGAGCAGGGGCCGGTTCCCTGGTTCCTACCTGGCATGCTTTCCTTCCCAGGCTCCAGGCTGTGGGCTGCCCCTCGGTCTCTCTCCATGGGCATTTCAGACACAGGTTTTCGGGGAACAGCCCCTCCTCGGGGACCTGGAGATAAGGAAGACCTGAGAGAGGGGGTGCTGAGACAACAGCCCCTGACCATGATGGTACTGCCTGGACCTCCCCAGATTGTAGAAGGTATCCCACAGCCACACTCACTTTGTCCCACTCGGAGAAGCACCTTCATGCCTCTGGTTAGGCACACACCTCCCTGTAAACTCTCCAGGCCTTCCCGGGTCCCATCTGATGTGGCTGGGAGAAAAGAACAGAGGGAGAGGTTGACATTCTAGGATCTAACCCTTCTAATTCTGTTCCCATGCCCTGGGAGGACGGCACAGGGGTTCTCCCTCTTGATTCCCATGGTCCCCTTCCCTCACTAGTCCTCCATCCCAGGGACAACCCTCCATTTGACCCTGCCCTCTGCCCAGCAGTACCAATTATGTAGTAATCATGGTGCGAGCGAAACTCATGGCCCCAGAGGTTAGGGCTGTATTCCTGGAACTTGATGGTGAAGCGGAGATCCAGATCTGGCCGGTCGCAAGTGAGAAGAAGGTTTGGGGCAGGGGGTGCCTCGCAGCGCCGACCCTGGGCACCCCCTACCAGGTACAGCTTGTAGAACTCATAATTAGGAGAGGAGTGGGGGCCAGGAGGTCGGGCCCGGGGGCAGAGCAGGTCTAGCCGGTCCCCAATCTGAGGGTAGAGCACATAACCACCCTCTGCCTGGAACCTATGGGGAGGAGGGCAAGGTGGGCAAGGATGAGATGTCAGGGGTGTGGCCCCAAAGCTTTCCCTCCCTCACCCACAACCTCCAGGACAGCAGTGCTTAGCTCCTGCCTGCCTGCCTTTGTCTGAGCAGAAAGTCTGTTCTTTGAGCACAGGCACCAAGGACTCTGCGAGCTCACATCAGAAGCAGCAGGAAGCCAGGCTCAGAGGTCTCCTGCCCCTTGGTGTGCCCAAATGCACTCTTCAGCCCGCCCTCACCACATGCACACTGCCATCTCCCGCTCCATCACCGGCGCCGTTGCCATGGCAACAGGATGCCAGTTACCAAGGAGCTGGCCTCTCTGGAACCACACAGCCCACCCCTCCCAGGTGATTTCACTATTCCATGGCAGTCAACCATGGGGGCAGAGCCTCCCATTCTCCAGGCCACCACCAAATCTCAGGGCAAAGGAGGCAAGGTGGGGGTGGGGAAAGGGGTGTGGAAGGTAATCCAGATCAGTGTCTCAAGTTAGCCAGTTATGGGGAAGGAGACAAATATCTGGTTTGGCAATGGTCCTAAGCGGGGATAATGGGAATGAGGGTGTGGAGTCCAGCTGCTCAGGTCATTCCCTTGCTCAGTTCGCCCATGCTGGGGCTCAGACTTCCTGGGGAAAATGTTCTATCACTTTGGAGTTGAAGTAGTTGACTTTTCTAACCACAACTAACCCTGTATCTCTAGGGCCAGTGGGCTGGGGAACCCACCAGCCTACCACAACCATAAACTGCATCTCCCTGCACCTCCTTGCACCTTCACAGCTGATACAGGGTCTCAGGTCTAGGTCCCAGGGGACTACTTACTGCCTCGTATTTTCCCAGACTCCCAAATGACCCATGCCCTCCCACCCACTATTCCAAAGAGCCCCCAAGACATACTGCCTTTTCTCAGCTCCTTCAGATAAAGCCACACTAGATACTCAAACTGCAGCCCTAAGTTGGAGAGTGGGGCAGCTTGAAGACAGAAAAGACACTGAAATTATCCCCAAAGAGATATGGGAAGAAAGGAGGGATACCAGGACCCAGAAGTGAGAGGAAGGCTAGGAAGAAAAGAGAAGAACAATAATCCTAGCCCTACTTTCATGAGCATATACTATGTTCAAACACCTTACCTCTAACCCTCATAACAGCTGTAAGAATTGAGGATACAAACTCAGAAAGGTTAAGTGACATGCCCAAGGCCACACAGTTGAAAGCGGCAGAGCTAGGATTAAGACCAAGAATTTGATAAGCTCCAAAGCCCACCACCCTCCCATGGCCTCCCACAGCCTCTCCAGGGAAGTAATTTTCAAAAAACAGAATCCTTTTGCTAGTGGGAAGGGGAACTGCACTAGAGACAAGGAACCAGATGACCTCCCCAAGGTTCTGTCCTACCCTGTGTGACTTGAAGTTTCATCTGACCCCTGGCCTCTTTTCAGAGCAAAGCAAGCATGGAACAGAGGCCCTGATGGAAGAGTTTGCAGCACGGACAGGGGGAGGGGGCAACGGAGTCCTCAGGACTACAGAGGCAAGAAGGAAAGAAGAAGGCTTGAGGAGGCTCAAGGCTTTCTCCAGAAAAAAGTCCCCAAGACAGGAAGGCAGGAATACAGTCCTGGCTGGGAAACTGTTCTGCCAGGGTTCACCAAACCTCTCTCCCTGGCTGTGGGCAAGAGTTGGGAGACAAGACTATCAAGTCAAGAAGTCTTGGAAAAGCTGTTCCCAGAGCCCCCAAACTAAGCCCCCTTCCCTTCCATTTCCAACCCTGAGCCTCTTCTGGGAGGGAGCCACTCCTGCCTTCCCCTCAGCTCCTGAGCAGCCCCTACTCAGCGGCTCTCTCCTGAGAACTGACATTAACCAGGCTCCCTCCAAGCCCGCCCAATGTAGGTCTCCCACAGATTCAAATAACCACTCCACTCCCCTCCCGCTGCCCACAAACTTTTTATCTTTGCCCCCTTTGAGGTTTCCAAACTCCTGACACATGGTCATCACCACCCACCTCCAGCTCTGTGTGGGACCCAGGAATCTGGCTCCCGAGATCACAGCTGTCTGGTAACCCATCACCTCAGATCGGGGCTCCAGCACCTTCCCTACAGCCTCCTCCCCGCTTAGGGAACCCAGGTCCCCAGTCCCCAAAGATTCCATACCCCTGTCCATAGGGTCTGGGGTCTCCCCAGCCCAGGCCGCTCACCTCTTGTTCGCCGAGTTCCAGTAGACGGGCTCCAGGCTGAGCCCGGACACCAGCCCCAAAAAACCCAGCAGCAGCAGGGCCCCGACTCGCACGCCCCCCGGCCCAGAATGGGGGGCCCCCATGACCCCGCCAAGGCCTGGGGGGCGGGGCACCAACTCCCCCAAAGTCGCTCACCCCCAGGGGTGACTGCCTTGGCTGCCTGGCTGTTGAGCGAGGATCACCCTGGTGAGTGGCTGATGCCCCCAGCGCCCTCGCGGACCCGCTTCCTGCTCTGCCCGCACCCCGGTTCCAGAGCGCTCAGCCCCACAAGAGCTCTTCCAGGGGCCGTCTGCCGGCGCCCTACGCTCCCCGGGCCCACGCGCCAGCACCCCGGGAATTGTGTGCCGCCCTAAGTGGGGGACTGGGGGACCCGGGGGCCGGGAGGGGGCGGCATGGGGCGCCGGGCGAAGGAGCGAGGAAGGGGACGCCGAGCCGGAGCCCCAGCCTCGCCGGGATTGAGGGCAGCGGGCTAAGGGAGGAAACCAGTCCCGAGCCCAGGAGGGGGGAGTTAAAGGAGAGGCGGGGAGGGGGAGAGGATGGTGGAGGGAAAAACCGGAGCTGGAGCTCAGGCGGAGCGGGCGGCAGCATCCCGCGGCCCACGCCCCCCACACCTCCCTCACCTCGCGCACCTCCCGCACGCCCGCCGCGGCCGCCTCGCCCGCCGCCCCGCCTCGCTGCCTAGCGCGGTCTCTCACGCCCCCTTTGTCTCTCTGTCTCGGTCTCTGAGTTGCTGCGCGTCTCCCCTTGCTGCCCTCCGATAACCGGAGCGGTTGGAATCTTCCTTTCTCGGATCCAGAAAGACTCTCGCCCTCTCCATCCCGAGGAACCCACCCCTTTTACTCCCGCAGCCTCCTCCTCTTCCATCCCAAAACAACACCGATTTTTCCGGGGAGGCCTGGAGAGAATAATAATAATAACAACCTTGATGGCTAGACACTTCACAAAGTGTGGCTGAGTTGATCGTCACGACTACCTGTGTGAAGTGGGAGGGGCCGAGCTACCGATCCCATTGTAGTGATGAAGAAACCGAGGTTCTGGAAAGGACCCCATGACTTGCCCAAGGTCATATAGGGAATCTGGAATAAAGCCACTAACCAAACCGATGCTGAGCTCCCCCGTTCCTGGGATTCTTTTGTCACAGCTTCCAGGATCCTTTACTGTTATCTGGGTCTCCAGGTGAAAGACAAGAAATGAGGGAGTAAACTTGGGCCCTTGTTAGGTGGTTGTGGGGAGAAGTGAGGTGGGTGGGAGGCAGGGAAGGGGTACCTAAATTCCCAAACCCGCACTGCTTTGGAAGGGCTGTTTCCAATTATCCTGGGGGAAGGGAGGTGTTGCCTTTTTGGGTGAAAGAACCCGGCTTTCAGCACCTCCAGGCAGTGGCAACATTCCTCTTTCCTACTCAAGCCTCCACAGGCTTTTCTCTTCCCTTTGATTGTGAGGTCCCCATCACTTTCCCTGCTGACAGTATCTCTTCAAAGACCCCCTTCTCTGTGTTTGGCAAGGTGTATTATGGGGAGGGAAAGCTAAGGAATGGAACTCGACCACCACCAGCTGCCGAATGAAGCCCCTCAACCTTGTCTTGCATCTAAGGGGGAAGACTGATGTGAATGTGACATCTATATTTTTCCACACCTTTACTCTTTCATGTGTCCTTGACTCTGGCTACTGTGTTGCCTGCCTCCTGGGGAAGTTCAGAGGAGTGGAGGCAAATGCTCCAATACTCCTTCACCAGAGCAGAGAGTAATGGTCCCTCTGCTGCTGGATTATGGTAAATAGTGTAGAGTGCAAGTGAGCTGGTGTCTTGTCTGTCACCATCTACAGTCTCACACAGTCACACCCAACAGTCTGACACTGAGCTCCTGCCACTCCTGTTCAGCCCAGCTCACCCTGACCCCTGCTGCCCCCACCTTGAGAGTGAGATTTCAAACAGGTTTCCCCCTTCAGTTTACCAAGTTGCCTAGCAACCAGACAATTGATGGCATGAGGCCCCACCCCCACCCACTTGACTTCACACACAGTTCAGTGGCTGGATTGGCTCCCTTCTAGCCCCACCTCTCAACTCCTGGTTTCAGGAATAATATGCCAGTCCCCAATGCTGCTGGACAAGGAAGCCCACTAATCACCCTTTCCAGCCCCCACCTCTGTCACAACCTCCCAAACAGACACAAAGACTCCAGTATCATATAAAATCTTTTTATATAAGTTCACTCCCACTTCCCTCGGTCCCTCCTTGTCCCTTCTCATCCTGGTGATCATCAGGGATACTGGGATCTGGGCCACCCCCACACCACCAGAGCTGAAGCCGACATTCCAGGTGGACGTGTCGAAAGGAGAGCAGGGGGAGGTCTGGCTCCTGTTCCCCTTCATCCCCACTGTCAGTGGGCTCCGGAAACACACGCTGACCGGAGGCAGTGGCCAGCAGAGGCAGGCTAGGGTGCAGGCTGAGGGAGAGACACAGGATCTGTAAGCACCTCAGGGACTCACCTCCCTCCCCAACCCCAATCCCGAGATCCCTGGAAGTAAACTGAGGACCTCACTCCATTGGTGCAGTCCTTCTGGGGCAGAAAACTCAGCACAGGCTCTGGACTCCCATCCTTGCCAGTCTCACTGATGTCCCACACAGAGACAGCCCCGCTGGTGCTGCCACTTGCTAGGAACTGGCCGCTCCTGAGGGAGAGATTTGTTGGCATACAGGCATCACTCCTGGGGCAAGAACCCCTCACACTCAGAAGATGGGACCCTTAGCTGGTCTCTGCATCCCTGGGGATGGTCAGGGCCTTCCACAGGAAAGGACCACAGTCACTTACGGGTCCAGATCAAAGTAGATGCGCTGATTGGTGGTTACCTCCCGACTCAAGGACCAAAGCAGATGACCAGGCTGCCGGAGGTCCCAGCAGAGGAGCTCAGCATCCTAAAGACATAGACCAGGAACCTAGAGTGTCTGTCCCCCAATATCACACAATGTCCCTTCCTCCCTCATGCTTGGCATTCTCCAACTCCTGCCCTACATCCTCACTCCTGCCATAGTGTCACCCACCTGCTTGGGCTCTCAGGTTATGACTCCTACCTTGCGGGCTCCTGAGAAGAAGCGGTTGCCATCAGGGTGAAAGCAGAGGTGGGTGATGCCCCCTTGATGCCCTCCAAGCAAGGCAAGATGAGAGCCATCATCCCAGGCATACAGGCCCAGGGAGCGGCCATAGGAGCCACAGGCATAGAGGGGCTGGGCTGGGCTGAAGGCTATGCAGGAGATGATGCCACTCTGACCTTGTTTTTTTGCTAAAGGGAAGGAGACACAAAGTGAGGGAGAGGGCAATGAAACATGGCATTTATCAGGCTAAGCAAAAGCCTATCTGTCCCCTGTCACAGCACCAATATACTAGGACTCAACATTTCCCTCAATCTGTTTGTCACAAGCAATATAAAAACTGATGTTCTCCAGATCCTTCTATTCCCCCACACCAAAGGACCTAAATGTCCAAGGCCCCCCTTCTTCCTTCTCAAACCCCATTTTTCCTAGAAGTGTCAGAGAGCTAAAGGCCTACAGGAAATGAATTTGGCTTCATCTCAAATTTTCTAGAGGGCTGGGGATGTAGCTCAGAGATAGAACACTGGCCTGGTACCCATGAGACCCTGTGTTCCATCACAAGCAACACAAAAATAAAATTTAAAAATTTCTAGAGATTAGAAAACTTTTGGTGCACAGCTAACAGCATAGGCTCAGGAGTGAACTAGATGGATGACCTTGGCAAAGTTTCCTGAGTCTATTTTCTTCTCTGTAACTGTACTTTACCTCCTAGGACTAAAGTGAGGATAAAGCAAAACCCACAAGTGGCCTCCTGGCTCCCACAAGGCCCTGATGCTGGCAGCATACCTTTCCCTTTCTTCCTCCCTTGGGTGGGGGCCCAGGTGCTTACCAAATGTGGCTCGCACCTCACAGTCTCGGCCAGGTCGGGATGTGGAGAAGACTCGCACGGTCCGATTGAAGCCACAGAAGAGTTGGGAGCCATCCGGGGAGAAGCAGAGTGAGTGGGCTGCCGTCAGCTCATCCTGGGGGCAGGAAAAGGCTGAAAACAGGCCTTGCCAAAGCTCAGCTGTCCTCAAGGAAGGAAAGCTGGCCCCAGACAGGTGCTGGGGCTAGGCAGGAAGGTCTGTACCAGGTGGTTGTAGGCACGAAAGGAAGCCCGAAGCTCTCCAGTGAATGCATCCCAGATGTGAATTGGGTTCTCCCGACTGCTGCTGGCCACGCTGAGAGAGACATGGACACTGAGGCCCCAGCACTGTCAAAGGAAGGGGAGGAAACCAACTGACCAGCCCTCTCAGCTCCCATCTGAAAAGCACAATGAGCCTTCCTCCTCCCAATACTCATGGAAGCCACTGACTCTTAGTAGAGGGCCCCTTTGAAACTGGGATCTGGGGGGAGAGCAAAGAACATCACTTACTAGGAGGTGTCTGGTTGGGTTGAAGACATCAGCGAATACCAGCAGTAATCATATATGGTATCACCCTCCATCATTCGAAGGACAGGGGCCTAGACCGAGACGGGAAAATGCCAAGATTACTGGCAGGGGAGTCAGAGGCTCATGCCTCTACTGGGTTTATGGCAGAGAAGGAGACCATGTATTGGCATGAAGTAAGTAGGAGAAGACAGAGTATACACAAAAAAAGGAATTTTTATCTCAACGTTCCAAGGTTGAACTCAGCCTCTTTGTCAGAATCAGATCACCAAAGCCATATGAATTCGTGCCTTTTAAACACTTACAAGGGGAGAAACAAATTGAATACTCCAATCCAGAGACAAAGAATCAACCAGTAATAGAAATATTTGGTAGGCACCTATGAGCTGCCATGCTATCCTTTAAAAAAATTATTAGTGCTGGAGATGTAGCTCAGTGGTATAGCACTTGCCTGTGTGCCACATGTATAAGGTCCTGGGTTTGATCCCCAGGACTACAGAAAAATAAAATTAAAATTAAACAGTTCAAACATGAAGTGTTTTTTGGTTTTTTTTTTTTTTTTTTTTTTTAAATCCTGTGATTTCTCCACCCAGCTTTAGAGGGGAAAAAAATACATTAAAACTCCTTCCCTCAGAGGTAAACATATCCTGAATATATCATTCTCATGTATTTCTTTAGGCATATATTCATAAGGAAAAAACAGTACCTAGCATTACAGTGCATGATTTTAAGTTTAATATATTTATTTTGGGGGAGTACCAGGGATTGAACTCAGGAGCACTAAACCACTCAGCGACATCCTCAGCCCTATTTTGTATTTTATTTAGAGATAGAGTCTTATTGAATTGCTTAGCACCTTGCCACTACTGAGGCTGGCTTTGAACTAGCTCTTCTCCTGGCTCAGCTTCCCTAGCTCCTGAGATTACAGGTATGCACCATTGCACTGCTCGCTTAAGCTTAATATTAATGGCATCACATGGTATGCATTCCTGATTGTGGTGAGATTTAACCAAATGACACATTTTCCTCTAATTCATGCATTTGCATTGCTGCATGGTACTCCAGTTTTGAATGTACCTAGATTGATCAATCCTCTCCTGCTGCAGTCATTGAAGATTTTCTATTTTTTTACTCATATGCTTTAACATTCTAAAACACATATGGAAGGGTTCCTCTAGTTTCTGCTAAAGAATAAAATTACTGGCCTTTATACTATAAATTTTGCCAGCTTGTTGAAATAATGTCAAAGTTTTTTCCCCAAAGTGCTCATCCTTATACAGCAGCAGCATATAAGAATGCCTGGTATCCAGCAGCTGGGGAAGCTGAGCCAAGAGGATCATGAGTTAAAGCCAGCCTCAGTAACTTAGCAAGGCCCTAAGCAACTCAGCGAGACCCTGTATCTAAGTAAAAAAAAAAAAAAGTGCTAGGAGGGCTGGGGTTGTGGCTAGTGAATAGAGCGCTTATCTAGCATGTATAAGGCACTGGGTTGATTCTCAGCACTGCATAAAAATAAATGAATAAAATAAAGGTCCATCAACATCTATAAATAAATAAGTAAATAAATGAAAGAGTATTGGGCATGTGGCTCAGTAGTTGAGCACCCCTGGGTTTAATCCCCAGTACCAAAAAAAAAAAAAAAAAAAACCTGCCTGGTATTCTTTATCCTCTTGGCATTGCCAGTTTTTTTTTTTTTTCAAATTTTCTGTTTGAAGGCTGTGAAATGGTATTTTGTTATGCCATAAATTTACATTTCCATCATTGCTATAAAGTGAGATTAGATTTTTTTTTTTTGTACTGAGGATTTAAATAAGGGGAGCTTTGCCACACTTTTTTTTTTTTTTTTTGAGACAGTGTTGCTGAGTTGCTGAGGGATCTCACTAAATTGCTGAGGCTAGCCTCAAATTTGCGATCCTCCTGCCTTCACCTCCCAAGTCCCTGGGATTACAGATGTACACAACTGCACCATTAGACATTTCTCTCGCTCTCTCTCTCTCTTTTTTTTTGCTGTTTAGGTATATCTTTTCATAAATTTTGCCCATTTTTCTAACAGGTTGTCGTCTTTTTCTTACTGATTTGAAGGAAATCTTTAAATAGTCTTGATACTAGTCTTCATCAGTTATTTGGTGACCCTCAGGGTGACATCACCTAGCTATGACTTCAGTTTCTACCCCATCACTCTGAATCTATAGATAGCTGCCCGGTGGAAAATTCTATCTGAACATCCCATAGGCACCTCAAGTTCAATTTATCCATCATAGCTCTGCACCTGCTAGTCCTCCTAGGCCTCATACCCAGTTTTCAAGTCTGGAATGTGTGTGCCAGCCTTGACCACTCCTGGCTCAACCTACAACCAAATCTGCCAATTCTTCCTCCAGGTTTCAATCTGTTCTCTCCCTTTGTTCCCTCTCCCAAGATCCCATTATGAGCTACTACTGCCTTCTTGCCAGCACTTCTGCAACACTCCAGGTGTCCTCTGGTCCTCTCTGTACCGCATGTTCCAACCTGTACATCCATTCTCCATACTCGCAGTCCAGCAAGGCCCCTGAGATCTTATGTAAATTGGATTCTGCAATATCATCCTCTTTCTTAAAATGTTTGAATGATTCCTTGTAGTCCATCCCCTTATAAAGACGTTCATTACTATGCTACTAGACCCACCTCTATCTACTCACTCCATTTAAAATTTCCATGTACCACCATTTTGACTCACAGGCCCCAAAAGAAACTACCTCACCACACTCTCAACCTGCAGGTTTTCACATATACTAGTCTCCAAGTCTGGAATATTCTTCCTTCATCTCCTCATAATTCCTCCAGATTGAATGCTCATCACTCAGGGCTCTTAGATGTTTCTTCCTCTGGAAGCCTTCCCTAAGCCCTCAGGATGAGCTGCTCCACGTTCCTATAGCCTCTGTGCTCCTCACTCTGCATCATCTCTGAGAAGTGGGGAATCACACCTGCCTTCCTCACCACAGTCTCCTCAACACCTCGTGCATAATCAGCAGTTAGTAAATAATATTTTCATGGCATATGGAAACAGGAGACTGTTTCAGCAACATGAGGCCCAAAATAATAGGACTTTGACTTAAAGCAGTCAGTGGATTGGACAGAAGTGGATGGATTAAAGATTAGATGGATTTAATGAGATTTGATAATTAATTGGATGTAGGGGGTTAGGAAAAGCAAGATTAAAGGATGAGACCCTAGCTTCTGGCTTGGATACCTCAGGATATGAAGATGGCAGAGAACTTGAGGACCAAAGGCAAGAGACTAATGTCCTTGATAAGTGAGAGAGAATCAGATATGCATATGCCTCAAAGGAAAAGATTTTGCAAAGAGGAAAGAACAAATGTGGTGGGGCATGCCTGTAATCCCAGTGACTCAGGAGGCTGAGGCAGGAGTATCACAAGTTGGAGGCCAGCCTCAGCAACTTACCAAGGCCCTGTTTTGAAATAAAAAGGGCTGCAGGTGTGGCTCAGTGTGTAAGTGCCTATGGGTTCAATCTCTGGTACCCCCCCCCCCAAAAAAAAAGAGCAATTGCCTGGCTCTAGCATTTGGAAATGAGAACACCCCACTCCGAACCTGACAGATAGAAGGCAAAGAGGATACAAAGCCTCTGTGGAGAGGGATAGAGGTATAGTGAAGGCCTCCTGCAAAAGGCACAGGGTAGGGCGAGTGCTCAGAGAATTGGAACGTTAAGAAAGAGAATCCTAGAAAGCTCTGTGAAAGGATAGAAAAGGTAGAAGAATTGGGGAACTATGCTGGGAAGAGAAGGGGTGTGTGTGTGTGGGGTACTGGAAACTGAACTCAGGGGCACTTTACCACTGAGCTACATCCCCAGCCCTTTTTATTTTTTTATTTTGAGACAGGGTCTCACTAAATTGCTAAAGCTGTCCTCAAACCTGGAATCCTCCTGCCTTGGCCTACCAAATGACTGGGATTATAGGCATGCACCACTGCACCTGGCCATCTCTCAGTATCTGTGGGGCTTTGGTGCCAGGAACCTCTAGGTACCAAAATCCACAGATGCTCAAGTCCCTTCTATAAAATAGTGCATATGTGCACTGAACCTACAAAAAACCTCCCATATACGTTAAATCATCTCTAGGCTGCTTATAATACCCAATACAATGTAAATGCTATGTAAATAGCTGTTACACTATGTTATTTAGGGAATAATAACAAGGAAAAAATCTGTACATGTTGAGCACAGCAATGTTTATTCTTTTCCAAATATTCTAGATTTGAGGTTGGTTGAATCCACAGATGTAGAAGGCCAATTATACCCCAAAATGTCCTTACAACCATACATTGCTAACAGCAAATAAAAAAGTTAAAGCTTTTGAAAACAAGTTGACTATATTAGAAGACATTAAAAAAAACATGTACATTGCTGGCTATAGTGGCACATGCCTATAATTCCAGCAGCTTGGGAGGCTGAGACAGGAAGATCTCAAGGTCAAAATCAGCCTCAGCAACTTAGCATGAGCCTGCCTCTAAATAAAATATAAAAAGGGGGTGTGGCTATGGCTCAGAGGTCAAGCATGTGAGTGCGTGCGCACGTGCGCGCACACACACACACACACACACAATCACAAAATGTATATTGATGCTAGGGTATTTCTTACCTATAATATTCCCCTTAAGAAAAGACTCTCCTGGGCTGGGAATATAGCTCAGTTGGTAGAGTGCTTGCCTCACATGCACAAGGCCCTGGGTGCCCAGCACCACAAAAAGAAAAAAAAAGAAAGAAAGAAAGAAAAAGAAAACACTCTCCCTCTGCATGAGGCCAAGTTCAATTCCCAGCACCAAAAAGAAAATATCCTCCCTCAAAATATATAACGATATTTACTGAAGACTAATTTATGATATTAAAATTCTGGAAATAACCCAAATGTCCAAAATGGAAGAAGAGGTAAAAAAAAAACTATCAAAAGCACTCAATGCAATATCACACACCATTAAACACAATAACTGTGAAGACTGGACTACCATGAAAAACACTCAGGATATGATTGCTCAAAGGAAAAAAGCAGGATACAAAACCATTTACCATAGGATTACAACCACATAA